TATTTCTTTCAAGTGCCATGAACCTGGGAGTTCTTCTTTTCCTTACTGTTAATGAAGTAGTATTCCTTGGAGAATAATACAAATATAAAGAAAGGAATCTTGAACATTAAATAAAAACCCACAAATGCCAATGAATACTCTAGGTCAGTCAACTTATCTCTCATTCGCAATACCTCTCCCTGTAAGGTACAACAATACCATAGCGAAAATTCTGTGTATCTCAGTGACTTGGTAAGACCCAGTGCGCCATTTCTTCTGGTTGGTGGCTCCTGGGTAGCAGAGAGCAAGGGGGAGAAGGTGGAACTGCTACACAGATTGCCTACGATGTGTGCTTTCCCTTGACCACAGCGCATTACAGCAGAGGTTCAGAGCTAGTCCCATCGTTGTATACACCAGAAATTTTTTGCCCTCCATTAGTCAACAACTCCTTGAAGATGTTCATAAAAACAAGTGGTGATCACAGGGACAGAATAAAATCCCAATACCTGCTTGTTATGAGCTCAGTTGTGTCTACCCAAAATTCATATACTGAAGTCCTAACCTCCAGTACCTCAGAATGTGACTATATTTGGAGTCAGGGCCTTTAGAGAGGTGATTAAGTTAAAATGAGGTTGCTAAGGTGAGCCATAAGCCAATCTGACTGGTGTCCTTAGAAGAGCGAATGTCACATGGAAGAGACAGCAGGGATGAATGCTTACAGAGGAAAGACCATGTGAGACACAGCAAGGTGGCCATCTGCCAGCCAAGGAGAAGGCCTCAGGAGAACCAAACCTGTCAACACCTTGATCTTGGACTTCCAGAGAAAATAAATTTCTGTTGTTTATGCTTCCCACTCTGTGGTCTTGTTATGGCATTCCTAGCAAAATGATACACTGCTCTCACCTGCCTTCAGACTATAAGAGATTCCNTATGGCATTCCTAGCAAAATGATACACTGCTCTCACCTGCCTTCAGACTATAAGAGATTCCTGATGATCTTGCAAAACTCAGACCCACACACATTTAGAAAAGAGACACACACACAAATGGACGGCCATTGAAATAAAAGAAAACGTCCAACTTTTAAAGAGATTATACTAGCACTTCAATTTAGAAGGTACTCCACTCATGAGGACGACACTCCACTCAAGGGAGAAAGCGATTTGAAAGTAATCATAGGATCCTTAGGATTTTAGAATTTGGAGCTGATAAGTCAAAGAAAGGTGGAGGAACTGATTTTCACAGACTTAATGGTGCCTGTGTTACTTGAAGCCACTGCTGGCAATGCTTTAAATAGCCTTTGGTTCAAATAGCCCTTGATTATTTTATAAATTTGAAGCAACCGTTTCAACCTGCTTCTCTATATGGACTGTCAATACGAATAACAAGGCCAACATTTGTTTAGTCATATTAAATGTGGCAAGGTACTTTGTGAATTATGCAGCATTACTTTTCAATTACTGCTCATGCATTAAGCCTAGAGACCCCAATTTCATGGGATCAGAGAGTCCATTTGCACTGGAGGGGAAAAAAAGTAAAAACTCACCTGTCACAAGGGTCATGGCCAACACCCCTATAATAAAAGATAGATTAACAAAAGAAAAGCATAACAAATTTATCCAAGTTTTATATGACATGGGAACCTTCAGAAATGAAGACCCAAAGACCTAGGGAAAACTGTCTATTTTCATGTTAAGTCTGATGATAAAAGTGGGTAGTTGTGGAGAAACATGGTGAGACAAAAAGAGGGTCCGATTTAATGGTAATAAGCTGTGGGGAGCCTAACAAGGCCCATTTGCTCAGTTTCTTCTTGGTCTCTCTGTGTGGCAATTGCTTTCCTCTGGGTATGGGGCAGGACACTGGCCACATGAGGGTCTTGTGACCTATGCTTAGGGAAGGTAGGTCAGAGAGTGACCTTTCTAGCTTTTATGGCTTGGTTTGAGGGAGAAAGAAGGGAGGCAGACAGGAGGGCAGAGGAAAGTCAGAGACACCTCCTTGCTTCTGAGACCCTCCTGTCTCCTTCAGCACAAAAATTCTTAGCAAGCTCAGCGGCCATACTTTGTGGTATTGTGTTCTGAGCCCAGATGCTACCACATCTAAAAACCATATAGTATCTAGCACATTGTCAAATGAGCCCACACCATGTACTCAGGGGTTTATTAATTCCTTGTCTCTATGCAGTTTATTTACAAATAGACCTTCCTATGTATTCTGAGAAGTAAAACAAAAATTAAAAAAAGCTTGTAAGGTTAAAAAAACTTGAAATAAAGTTTTTTTAGACAAAAAACCAAACCAAAACAAACAAAAAAACAAATAGACCTTCCTACCATGACTATTCAATTTAAAATTGTTCCTTTTGTCATCACATCTATTTTACTTTCATCAGAACACTTGCAAATATCTTGTTTCTCCGTATGTTGCTTGTCACCTTCAGTCTTTTCCTTCGCAATGTTAGCTCCACGAGGATACCTTGCTTGTCAAATAGCCCCGAAAGCCTAGAATGGTGCCAACCGAAAAAATAGGTGCTCACTCTGTTAAAATTTGTTATTTATAATTGAATTAAACCCCATGGATAAAATGGAAATATTCATAAGCATTATTTTTATTTCCTGGTATGGATTATATATAAAAAATAGTATGTGCCTTTTTCATGTTTGAAGAACTTCATGAAACCACCTGTCAGATGAGTTCTAATTTACCAAAATCTTCTGCCCCCTGTTGTGAGGATAATTCTGCCTTAGGAATTCACATGCAAAAATTCAAAAATGTCTCTAGAATATTTGGTATATTTTAAGATCTCTAAAAGATAGCTGTGAAGATAGGTTATTATATAATAATTATTAAAACATCACACATTTGTGTAATGCCTGAAAAATATCCCCTATGTGGAATTAGCTTATCGTAATCACACCATATGTGATATCTAATTACTTAATATAACGGTAGACTTTTAAGGACATTCTCCACTTATCTGAAGCTCAACAGAAACATTTATTACCAGAATTAGGCATTATATGCCCATTGGCCATGCCAAATGTGCCTTATCTTCAACTTTAAATATGCTTACCTTGATTTTTTTTTTTTTTTTTTTTTTTTTTTTTTTTTTTTTTGT